GTAAAACATGTGATTCTTACCTCGCTTGCAGTTTCTGTCAGGGATCCGCCTAGAGGGTCCCTCAATGGTGGTGTGCGCGAGAGTTCTTCCGAAAAAAATATATTGTCTAAGGACTGTCGGACTAAATAAAGTATGATTCGCCCTAAAATGTATCCATGTATTAAAATTCCTTTTACAGAAAGAGAAGGCAATCATTTTGGATATTTTTGGCAAACAAGCCGTATGTATTATAGAGAAGATTAAGAGAATGAAATAGATGTAGCAATAATTGAGAAAAGTTATGTGTTTGTAAAGTTTGCAATCCAACAGGAAATTTCATTTTTCAAGGAAAACTCCTTTAACAGTCATATTTTAGAAATACATTTGGTTGAAATTTGTTTTTACACCAAACATGCATATTTTGGTGACCGTGTTTATAAAGTCCTTTGCCACAAGATATATCTTTTCAATGCTATTTTATATATTTGTTTACTTTAAAGATTCACAACTGATAGATTTTTAAAACTTACCTGTAATATATACAGTGGCCCCCGCCTCGAATTCCCCTTCTCTTATCGTTTATGTCTATCCCTTTCCCTATCCCCCGGGGAGGCACCGGTCATTTGTTCTAAGATTCTTCCCGAGAGCGACATATCTATAGAAATTCATTTCAGACTGGAAGTGTAAATTCCTTCAATATAACAGCGTGCCCGGACGTTTGTCGAGAGTTTATCTTTCCCGTATATGGACAACTTCCAAATTTCAGTCATTTATGGATGGATATTTAAATCAAAAATTGAAATATATTGTCTACGAGCTATGAATATTTGTTTTTTTTTTGTGTTGTGTGTGTTTTTTTTTGTTTTTATGCTTTTGAAATACTTTGAAATTACAGTTTTTGCACTGTTTAAAAGATCTATGCTTTTGATATAATAATATTTGTTGTTTTGTAAATATTAGTTCCTATCTTGAATGGATGGATTTTATGTTGTTAACTGATGTTAAATGGTTATCCTATCAGGAGCAAAACTCGTTTAGTATACTTACGAACACAGATATAGCGAACGCACGGATATAGCCAATTTATTTTGGATCCCCAGTGATATCAATTAATGAATTCCTCACATGGATATAACGAATTACGGATATAACGAAGTTATATCAAAAGTCCCAGTGACCTCGTTATAACCGAAATTCATGATATTTGTAACCAATTTTCTTAACCTACTGTTTTCCAAAACAAAGTTAACTTATTTCTCTTATACATGTAGTTTACATGGATTGATTATTCAATTTAATCTGAAATTTCTCAAAAAGGACTGACAAAGAGAATTGTCTGTATTTTTTTATTGTGAGTTTTATTATTACAGTTTCAACAATAAAGTTATAATGTCAGCAGTATTGAACGCAAGGATTTTACATGTAAGGATTGTTTGTGGGAATAAACTATGAATAGGTCCTGAGCACAAACAATGACAAGTCAGATCTTCTGCTTTTTCACTCAGTATCATCGTTTTAACCGTTACTTTGCTGGGATATGAAAATTAATATATAGAGAATGGGAGAATTGCTTTCTCGGAAATCCTTCGCCTCTAACTTAGTCGAAAGGTACTGATCACGGCTTTCTATTGCATTTGTATCTCACATTTACACCATTGTCATTTTGCAAAGTTATAAGTAATCTAAGGTGCTGTACATCAGAAGTTTGTCTGCACGGCTTAACAATCTAAAACACTGAAACACTTCGATCTACTCACTATTTGTAGCATTCACCTCACAAACTCTAGTTGATGTCAAAAATGCATTCGTGTTTGAGCATACTATAGATGGTTAAGCCTTTCAAATTTCCGATGTAAAAGCACTTAGATTACTTTTATTTTTCTTTGCAATAGCATTTGTGTGAAAGTGAATTGCAAAAAAAAAAAAAAAATGTAAGTGGTTCACGTCTGAATTAAGTTAATGAATTCGACCCTCTCCACCTTTGGCGAATTCAACAAAATAAGCTTAAGGACAGATGATACCAAAACATTTGAACGCCTGAATTGGTACATATATTTGGTCAATTTTTTGTTGTAAATGATGCGAATAATAAATTTCTTAATTATTAAAAAACTTTCTGCAATGTTCAAAATTCAACCTTTCTGTAGCCATTCTTATTATTATATGCAACTTTTTGTCACTTTAAATCCCATTGTTGTTAAAATTTGAGTGAAAAATTAAAATTTATTCGGTTAAACTTTTTCTATTTTGAAAACATTTGATAAAAGTTTGTATCATCTTTCCTTAAGCAGGATGAGTTAATTTTGCTTGTAAGTCTCGTTATATAATATGTATTTTAATTTTTAAAGGAACTTGGATTAAATTCTACAAGTGGTTATTCAACTTGTACTCATAGCTCCCTCTCTAAGGAGGAAATTCTTCAAAATCATGTCAGTTTTTAATATTTTTATTTTTTGATACGCCAAACAACCAAAATGCATTTGTAGCACCATGTCTATGTTAGATTCCGAAACTTCATAAAATCCTTACACACAAATATTCCATAAAGTGTTCTACAAAGCCTCTTTTATTACTCTTCACTGAGATATTAAAAAAAGTGAAGGAGAAACCTTAAGAATACTTTGTAACAATATATTCAGGAAGTGGTGCAAATCAGATGTAGATACTAAAAAATCAACACCCACAAATATTTACCAAAATCAATAACTTAAGATTTTACGACTTTTCAACTTTATATATACAACTTATACCCAAGATAATTTAGTCTTTGACATCAATGTGACAGCTGCTTTTTAAAAAAATTTGGAACTCTTTTTCTTACCTTGTCATTGGTCGTTTGCAAATTTACTTTGTTAAAAGACTATCTGCATGATTGTACACATAAGTACTCTGAAGTTTATATTAAAAAGATGTTCGAGTTTCTGATTGACAGTATCTATGTGGTTTTGGGAGACTAGGTCTTCTAACAATCAACTGGAATTACCATGGGTACCAATTTCCCCCCATTATCAGCAGACCTATTTTTGTATTCATACGAAGCAGAATTTGATCGAAATCTTTTACGTAAAAAGAAGAAAACACTTGCTGTGGCCTTCATCTCGACAATTAGATATATCAACGGCAAATGAAGCAAGGATATCAGCAGTCTCGTTTAAAGTCATCACTTTGTAAGTTCTATGGTCGATACAATGACCTTGTCAGCAAATACAATCTGTCATTAAGTCAAATGTTGACTGACTTTTCACACTGATTGCTAGGCCATTATTTACGCACTGGGTTGTCGATGGATTTTCCCGAACATGACAAGGAGCACATGGTGGGTGTGACAGGTCGATTGGGGGTTCCCATTACTCAATTGCACCTGATCCCACCTCTGATGTTTTGGAGGTCCGTGTCTGCTCACAATCTCCTATGCAGAGTTGTCTTTCGTTCCTCTCTCAGACACCTCTGCAATGGGCTCAGGTCAAGATTTTTGACATAACGTATACAAAGTAATATTTGCAGGATTGTTTCAAATTAAATTAAAAGTTCTGGATTAGTTTAGTAAATATCTATTTGAAAAGTCAGACATAAACATATAAATTGAATTATAATGAATTAAAACACTATATTCTCGTGTTTATCACTGTGATATACGCGAGCCAACGGCAGAGGTGAATGTATGAGCCGATGATAGAGAGTGGTCTGCTCCGCTCCTATTTTGTAATTTATATATGACTTTTGAGCTCGAATACTGTTCGTTATCTCCAAATATTTCATTTTAAAGATCCTTCATAGGAAAGTAAAAACCTATGGTCATTGTCAAAGCAAAAAATTATTAAATACATTCGTATGTCTAGAAATCATTATACCGGTATTATGTTCTTACGGTACCACTCAAATATTAACGAAAGCCAAACAAAAGACAAGATTTTTGTATATTTTTATTTCACCACACACAAACACCCATCCACCTACCCATATAGTAGGCAGAAGTACTTGAGGTGCTTTTCCATTTAAAATATTTGACATGGAATTGCAGGATATGTATATATCTAATTTTTTTAAAAAAAATCAGAAATACTAGTATTGTACATTGTATTACATTTTGATTCTGAACACATTCGTAAATACATATGTAAAGGATAATTAATAATTATTCGTGACTAGAAATAGTCATGGAAAGACATGGTAGTATATGATACTAGTGTGCTATACTTAAAGTCGATGCCAAATTCATTATTGACACGGCTATCATTTTGGGGAAAACATTTCAACATGTGATACAAATGGCCAATATAAGTCACATTCTTCACCTGAGCATTTTGGCTGGAGCTAGAAAAGCATAGCGCTTCATTAATATAAACTGTAATGAAGCTTTCACGCAAGTTCCACCTTACCTGGCACAGTAGTATTGAAAAGAAAATGTTAAATATTAAAGGTGTCATTAAATTTTTACAAATATTTTTTATCCCCTTCAAAGAAGTCTTGTTCTTGCATTTGAACAAATTTGAATTCCTTTCACACAAGGATGCAAGTTTGATTGAAACTGGCATTTTTGTGGTTGAGAAGAAGTCAGAAAATATCAAATATTCACAAACAATAAACTCAATATACAACACACTCCGGGCACCCGATCGATCAGAAAAAAATCAACTAAGCTTTTCAACTACTAAAAAAACTAGAGGTACTGTGAGCAATGAGCTCTCTAAATGATACCCCCCGCCTCCCATATGAATATATTGGCAGTATCCATGTTTTGCTCTGGAAAATCCAAAATATATGTCAGATCAAAAAGTAAAATAGGAGGTGCACAATGGCAATATGTAATAAAGATTCTGTGAAAGTTTCATTAAATTTCCTTCAGTGGTATGAGAGGAGTTGCGGATAAGAGATGGGTACCCCAAAGCGTAACAGACGGACGGACGGACAGACGGAAGGACGGACGGACAGACGGACGGACGGACGGACAGACGTACAGACGGACGGAAATACCGATTACTATATACCCTCCCGCTTTTCAAGCGGGGGGTATAATGAAATTTTTAGTAAAAGTAACATAAGATTTAAAATAACATCCCTATAGTGCCAATAGTGGAGAGGCATAATAAGAATAGTGTTTATATCAGCTAATTAATCAGTTAGAAAAGAAACCAGGTTTAAAAGTTGAAACCTTTAACATTTACAATATTTGTCATTCACAAGCTACAATTTCAAACCAAGTCGATCACATATTCGCTTTCAGCCTCTCTAGAATAGTAGGTACTGCTCACAGCGTACCCATGTAGCATTAGGACTGTTTTGTTTTAAATCCTTTATATTACGTTTCTGATATCGATTACACCCTCGTCTTCAGTTTAGCATCGTGTTTTGGAAGAAAATCCGTCGCATCAACAATACAGTTATTTTTTCTGAAGTGAGTCAACATAGGCTCCAAAACAGTTTGTTCACATGACATCAGATTCTTATTCCCTGAAATGTGACATATTATATATAAAATAACATGATATGTAAAATATATATAAATGATTTGATATGTATTATATATGAAGTTTATTTTTTTGAAAAAAAATTAGTTTAAATTACAAAAATATTCAAATTGAAGCAATTCATTTAATAAACACATTTTTAAAGAGAAAGGGATTTTTTGAAGCCCACCTATTAAAATAAGTCCTTTACGTGCTCTTGTTAAAGCAACATTAATCTGGTGAGCATCAGTGATGAATCCCAGATTTTCTTTACACCATCCATCCGTTGGCTGAGGTTCAATTCTGTACTCCGGATGGACCTCACACCAAACTGAATATGACGTAATCCCACTCACCACCTTAAAAAGCGAATTTGTATTATTTATAAGACAAAATTCAAAATGGTAACTTTTTTGGATAATAAAGTTAAAAAATAGTATATAGATCTAAATCAAAATGATAGATCTTAAAGAATTTTATACAATAAAAAACATAAAAACAAGCTTGACTTAGAACAATATCGACATGTTTCATATAATTGTACATATAATATCAAATGATCGAGACTGGCAGATTTGCGCTCGATTACTTTTAATCAAAATAGCGTACACTTTTTCTCCATCGAGATCATTGAATTTTGGGTGGGGGGAATTATCATCTTTTTGACGTAATAACTAATTTAAGCGTGATGGCTGAAGAAAAATATGTAAATAAATGTTTTGAAGTATGTATACCTCCCTGGCTTAGAACATTATTATTGATTTCCCAACCAATATACTGTAAAATCACTATTTTCTTGAGTGAAGACTTTCAAGGTTTGCAAAAAAATTATTGATATGTGGGGATTTCATTTCGAGGTTGGAAAAGTGTTGAGTAATAATGCAATTTAAATTTTACATTTCGTGGTGGTCATGATTTCGAGGGTCTCTCCTTACCTAGAAAACAGCGAAAATTAACCCCCTATGAAAATTAGTGATTTCACAGTACCCTTTTCTGTGAAAAGTGCCATTACCTTGACTTGCTACAACTGTATTGACATTGCAGAAATCAATCTTTCTCTTTCTTAATGCCAGTCGTATTTGTTGACACTGTGCATTGTACTGTGACATTATGTTTATACTCTCCCAGTTAATTTTCTCCGTTTTAACCAGGTAAGAGAATATGGATACCTGTAGAAAAGAAAGCAGAATGATTATAAATATGAAAATCTGAATACAATATGCATTGTATATGATTGAAGTAACTAGAAGAAATTAAAGTACCTAATATGTATAAAAATTGTGCAATTTCATCCAAAGTCTGAATACCTATTAGTTTTATTTCTAAATTTGTTTGTTGATCAACTCTGAATTGGAAAATGCATACTAGGTGTTTTTATTCGTATTTCCTGAATTATCATTAGAATTTACTAATTTTCCCTACATAATATGCTTAACTTTAGAGATGAAGCTTGAAGAATTATTAGTGGAGAAAAATTCAGAGACATTTTTGTGAGCATTTTTGAAATAGTCAATGCCTGGTTTTCAGATTCAGAGGATCAGAGTACCTTAAAAATAACACTACAACTTCTTTCAATAAACGTGTATAATTATATCGTTAAACTTTCTTCATGCGCCAAATAATATAGTCCTTGAACCAAGGCCTTTATGTTTCTGGCGTAGGAAAATATAAGCCAATTTTTTGCATTTATTCTATTTAAAAGCACATTCTGAATATGTTAGTCATTTATTTCATTATTTCATAACTTGTTTGTCTGGCGTCAGACAGTACTAGATTTAGCCAAGGCTTGTGGGTCAAGTCTTTCAGTAGAACTATTGTGATACATCTTGGAAACTTAATTCATATTATTCTATCTCAACCATGGGGATTAATAGTACCATGCTAAACACCCAAACAAACCAAAGCATTGGACCTAATTATTATTTCATTATACATTACACGTTACATAACATTTGACCATTCTGTTATGCATCAATTAGATAGAATGTTCTATCGTTAAAATGATATTGTCCTACGGACCCGGTTTAACGATAGAATTCGTTCCGTGTATTCGTAATGGAGCAGAAAGAAACACGGGCGATAACTCGCATAGTGCATTTACTAGGAACAATCTAGAGAGTTCCGAATGTAAACATGGAGGTAATTTGAATCGAGAGAAAAACGTTGAGAAAATTAATTGGATTTTCGTATTTATATGGATTATTTTTTGGGATAAAAGGCATAAGCAATCTCAAAAAGGTTTGTTTTGATTATTTGGATAGTTATTTCCAGTGCAAATCATTTTATATTCTTTAAAATCGTTTCCGAGCGGATCCGCTCCGATTCGCTACATTGCAAGTATATGGGACGTATTCTAACTGTGGTGAGGGCTTGTACCGAGACACAGTTAGATTATTCTAACTATGCATCAATATCATTCATCTACATCCAGTAAAGCTTTTCAGGTCAACGTTATCAGATTAACTAGTACTAATAGATGTTTATTTTCACTGCATACAGCATGTACAGTCTTTCTGCCTTTAGAATTACACATATTCCTAACTTTGCAGACGTTTGATTTAGTCACAGTTTAAAAATTTCAAGAGAAAAATGATGATAGTTGATTAACTTTTTCTGTGTTTATTAGAAAGATGTTATCTCATTTAACTAGTATATATATTACAATGTATTTTAAAAAGAAATACATGTATCATAATTCTCAAAACTGTTCACCAAATAATGTTTAGATTTGTAAAATGTGTGATGTAACCTTTTCTTTCAAAATTGAATAAGCACTGGTGTTATCTAGTATCTGGGAAAAGGCAAATAAGAAGAAATTTCACGGGGTAGAGGTGCACAACCAAAAATTTCAGAGGGGGGGGGGGCACTAACTAGGAATTTTTTTATCAAGCAAATAAGTCAATATAAAACATGACATCTGGGACACAGACATAAAGTAGCTATGTTTTCTATAGCATATAAAGTATAATTATATATCGGCAAAAATGGGTGGTTCTCTCGTCATGTTTCCTATGGCCATAAAAAAAGAAAATGACAAGTGATAAAGTATAAGTCTACGTAGAATAAATTCATTTCCAAGCTTTATTTCATGTTGGTACAACTGGATTTAATTTTTAAGGTCTTCCGTTTCAGACGGAAGACCTTATAGTGATTCTACTGTTTTTAAAGTCTTCCGTCTTCAGCGGAAGACCTTCTTGTTATTCTTAGGTTTCTTTTTCACTTTTATTAAGGTCTTCCGTCTTCAGCGGAAGACCTTCTTGTTATTCTTAGGTTTCTTTTTCACTTTTATTATTATTATTATTATTCTTTTTTTTCTTACCGATTTTGTGCACGCGATTTCTCGGAAACGGCTCGATGGATTTCCATGAAACTTTCAGGACTTATGTAACATAACTTGAACCTTATGCATTTTTTTTCGATTTGATGACGTCACTTCCGGTTTGGAGATATTGTCGATTTTGCGATTTTTGAAGGGTCAGGTTGTCCGC